GAAAGAGATAAACTGAAGGTGGAAGGGGGGGGGGTGGTGGTGCTCAGTTGACAGATGGTGTAACAAGAAGCTACTTTTAACCAGGACCTCGACGTTAAGGACCTGTCTTTATCACATCACCCGGGGAGTGCAGACCTTGATGTTCACAGAAATGTTTTCACCAGCAGTCACTTTATACTTGCCATTGACCAAAGAACCGTAAGAAACGTGGGTGTCATGTCTGACACAAAGAAGAACTTGGAATAATGTCGGTGACATGTTAACAGCAGGAGAATGTTCATGTAAGTGTTTCTCTATAACCAAAACCTAAGTTTCCTCATGCTTTCCTCGTGTGTTGTGGCTTGTTGGGTCCTTTTTACTTTTTTTTTTGTAGTCTCAGAATGACAGGATCTTCCCGAAAGTGGCATTTTGGAAAAAGAGGAAGAAAGAATACTAATCTACAGACAGAAGGATCTAACAAGAAAACAGATGAAGGAAGACGAGAAAGATAGAGAAAGGGACCCTTGATGTACCCTGAAAAAGAAACAGGGCCGAGCAAATACGATTGGTTTCAGAGCACCTTCGGGTTCAAACCTTGAACGTTCAAGACTTTGTTAAGATCGTAACCCACATTTTCACGGCGGCCAGCCCACTTTGAATTGGTTTTTCCTGTCCACTCCCAGGAACCATCAATCAAAGGTCTTATCATCTTACAGTTTCCTTGCCATTTTTTATGCTTTAAGATGCTGGGGCGCCTACTCTGCCAATGCTAATAGTCTTTCTGTTTCTTTGATGATTTCTTGAGCAGTGTAAACGATGAGAAAACCCCCCACAGCGTCAGGGTTTCCCCACACTGCTAAGTGAACCGTGACCGGTCATTTAGGCCCCCCTCCCTCTCCTTGACCAACGATTACGGAGTGACGTGACAGAAAAACGAAGGCAGCGAAACATGGGGCAGCACGTGTCTTTTAGCAAAACACGGGTCCGACCAAAGGTGTCTGTGAACAACGGAGTGCACACGGAGTAAACGCCTTCCACTTACATTCCTATTCTTTGACAATGGTCGCAACCGTTATATCTAGATTTAAAAAAAAATACCAATTTGGCATATTGCAACTGGGTAGCCTAAACCTAGAACACGTAGATAGGCTTGACTGTTTTTGTCCGTCACTGTTTATTGATACTTACATCGTAGACCAAATAGCTATGGAGACAACATCATGAATAAACCAAAGTTTACTCAAGCTGCTTTCCATTCGATAAATGCGCTTTGAACAATAAAACTCGACATCCTGACTGTATTCGATCATGCCAACCCGACAGGTTAAGTACTTAGCGAGCACACCTCTTTTCACCTCCCTATGAGAGTCGGATTTTACAGCAGAATAAAATGAAGTATCGCCCCTGTCGGGGGTGGCCCCATAGTTTTACTGCTTGTCGTAAGAGGCGACTAAAGGTATATAGGACTGGACAGCCAAAAAGTGCCAGTATGCGGAGGGTCAACTACCCGACCCATTAAAAACGGAAAGATATAGAATCACGAACAAACACGCCTTATAATTTTTCCATCTTGGGAGACGGAGACGTTTCTGTATCAACAGGAACAATGAAGGACAGCGGACAAAGCCGAAAGGACTCTTCTGATCCGAAACCTTCTCTGTCGATCAAGTCTCTCCGGATTGTGTCGTGGAATGTTCGCACCATGTATGAAGCAGGAAGGAGTTCTCAAGTGGCATAAGAGATGAAGAGATACAGACTGCACATACTAGGAGTCAGCGAAACCCACTGGATACAGTCTGGACAGAAGCAGCTTAGCTCGGGGGAACAAGTATTGTATTCTGGGAGGGAAGACAAGCACCATGCGGAGGGAGTTGGAATTATTTTGAGTAGTCACTTAGAGGATGGGAACCACAGGGGGAAAGGATCATCATGGCTTCTTTCACTACCAGGAGTAAAAACATCAACATGAACATAGAACAGATCTACGCCCCAATAAATGAAGCTTCGGATGAAAACAAGGATGCTTTTTACAGCCGGCTCTAGGGTAATCGACAACCTACCAAGGAAGGATGTCAGCCTTATAATGGGAGATACCAATGCCTAAATTGGTCTGGACAACGTAGGTTATGAGGGAATCACGGGGCAACATGGCTTGGGACAAATGAATGAAAACGGTGAGCGGTTTGCAAATATCTGTGTTTTCAACAGTCTTGTCATTGGAGGCTTGGTTTTTCCCCACAAGAGGCTATACAAGGCTACTTGGGTATCACCGGATGGGGTGATGGAGAACCATATCGATCATTTTTGTGTCTCTCGTAGGTTCAGGCGTTCACTGGAAGATATCACAGTACATAGAAGGGCAGAAGATTGTTCGGATCATCGTCTGCTGTTAGCAAAACTCAAGCTTCGTCTAAAAAAAGCACGGAACCAGAACAGGAACAAAAAGAATGAAGTTCCAAGGAAGTCTTTTAGATGGACACAAGAAAGAGGAGTTTCAACAGCAGTTAAGGAACAAATTTCATCCCTTGGAGGATCTTGGAGAGCAGGGCCTGGAGGTGGAGATGCACTGGACCAAGGTCAAAGAAGTCTTTACTTCAACATGTCAAGAAATACTCGGTGAAAAGAAATTGGAGCATAAGGAATGGATTAGCAAACGGTCATTGGATTTGATTAGCATTAGAAGACAATTATTAGCAGAGTCAAATGCAAGTAAAACAAAGGGATCAAAAGCGGTCGCCATGGAGCAGTACAGGACAACAACTATAGATGTAAAGAAATCACTGAGAAAAGACAAGGGGGGATTCATGAACAGGCTGTCAGAGAGGGCAGAGGAGGCAGCAGCAGGAGGGAACATGCAAATCCTTTACCAGACTACAAAGACTCTTTCTGGAAAATATGGGAAACCAGAAGTAACAGTAAAGGATCAAGATGGAAAAACCATTTTTTGGAAAGGAAGCACAGTCAAGACGATGTCAGAGCATTTCAACAGTCTCCTGAACAGACCGCTAACAAGTAACCCGCCTAACATCCTGCCTGCAAGAAATGAGTTACCAATCTGCTGTGATGTTCCATCGAAACAAGAGATTCTGGATGCCATTAAGAAGCTGAACAACGGTAAAGTGTCCGGTCCTGTTCAAATTCCGCCTGAGGCCCTAAAAACATATGCCAATGTGATGGCAGACCTCCTTCTCCCATTTTTTACCAGGATCTTGAATGAGAGCATGTTTCCAAAGGATTGGAAAGAAGGACACCTTGTGAAACTCCCTAAAAAGAAGGATCTCAGCAACTGCAACAACCACCAAGGAATCACCCTTCTCTCAATATCAGGTAAGTTCTTCAACATAATCATTCTGGAGAGAATCAAGTCTGCAACGGATCCAAGACTTCGTGGTAAACAGGCTGGATTTCGGAAAAACCCGGTCAACCACGGACCAGATTGCTACGCCGAGGATCATAATGGAACAGTCCCTGGAGTGGAACTCCCAGTTGATCGTCAACTTTCTTTACTATGAGAAGGCTTTTGACAGCATAGACCGAGCAACACTGTGGAAGGTACTGAGACATCACGGAATCCCACAGAAGTTGGTTAACCTCACCCGGAGCATGTACGAAGGTACAAGTTGCAGGGTTATACATGATGACCAGCTCACAACAGCTTCGATATCAAGACCGATGTGAGACAGGGATGTTTACTATCACCTTTCCTCTTTATTTTGACAATCGACTGGCTGATGAAGGAAACCACCTGAGAACACTGGAACGGTATACAATGGACCCCATGGACACAGTTGGACGATCTGGACTTTGCAGATGACTTGGCCCTTCTGTCACACACTCAGGAACAGATGCAAGCAAAGACAACAATTTTTAAACAGCCTATCAGAGTCTGTTGGTTTGAGGATACACCAAGGAAAGAAAAATGTCCTAGGGATAGATGCACTACGAAAGGAATAGGTCACAAAATAGGGGAATGCACTAGAAGACGTCGAATCCTTCTGCTATCTTGGAAGTATAATTGACAGAGAGGGAGGAACTGGTGCTGAAAAAAGTCCCGCATTGGAAAGGCACAGACTATATTTAGTTCTTTGAACAGGATTTGGAGGACCAGGGATATCTCACTACGGACAAAGTTGAGAATTTTCAACTAAAATGTGAAGTCAGTCTTGTTGTGTGGATGTGAGACGTGGAATGCATCTCAAACGTGCATAAAGAGGATCCAGATTTTCTTAAACAAGTGTCTGAGGAAGCTACTGAGGATCAGATGGACAGACAGACAGGATCACCAACGAGGAAGACAGAGCCCAGTCAGAGATGAGGTGGGAAGAAGGCGTTGGCGATTGATTGGATACACTTTCAGAAAGTCAAGCAGCTGCATAACAAGGAAAGTGTTAGATTGGAACCCACAGGGTAACAGATCAAGGGAAAGACCACGTGGAACTGGAGAATAGTCATGGGAATGGATGTACAGAAAAGTGGAAAAACATCAAGCGACTAGCCCAGGATAGGGAAATGTGGGAAGTGTTTGTTCGTGGCCTATATCCTGATCCAGGGTGAGAAAGACAATGATGATGATGATGAATGAACTAAGAATAGGAACTACAAAATGCTTTCCCAGATAGTGACGATCCCAGCTTGGACAGCAAGGAAGTTGGGGGGGGGTTAGGGGGGGTATAGGGGATGTCATTAATTGTTTGTTTCTTGTTTTTGCCTGCCTTATACGTTAGGTTTTGATTGGCTGACTGGGTTGTGCTTTGTGTTGTCGGGGTGGGGGCTATGTGTATCCTACAGTTTGTCTTACTTTAACTGCCGTTGGATTTTAATTCCTTCGTATGTTCGTTAGTGGTCGTTACTGCTATAACTGTTACTGTTTTTTTGTTACATTTTTGGGGTTGTTTTTTAGTTTGGTTGTTTGTTTGTGAACAGCGCTCCAGCAGGCAGCACAGAAAACACTAATCACGCCAACGTAGAAGAAATGGGTAACTATTAGCCACACTCCTCATCACAACAAGGCAAATGGAGTCGTGTCCACTTGTGGGTCTCAAGTCCACAAAGTACATGAGATTAGGAAAACGCTTCCTTCGAATCGTAGACGGCTATCGAACCCCAGGCTGCTTCTGGTCTGTGATGTCAGCGATGATTTCTGCCCTTCTGTTTCTTTTTCTTCCTATGAGACCCACTGTGGGCCGTTTTTATTAAAGCGTAAAACAAAACAAAACAAAAAAGAAAGAAACAAACAAAGAACCCAAACAAAAACAATAAAAAACAGCACCCAAAGCAGTTCACTTCAACAGCGACGATTTTCTTGCCGGATGTTGATAATAACCAATCACACTTTTCACCTTGACATTCCTGTTCTCACCCCACCCCCTCCCTTTTCGCCTTCCGTGATACCTTTATGCT